GTGTTTAGGCTAAATCATTAGAGATAATGATTTGATGTATAAGAGAGAAAGAGAGAATGATTTAATTTGGTGTATAAGATAGGAAGAGAGAATTGTTTGGTGCCCCTAAACTTGTGAAATTAGCCTCGTATTTAGAGAGGAAATGTAAGGGGTGAAGCACGGAGCCCTAGTATTTAAGCGTCGTGAAAAAATTACCTATATATTGCCGTGTCACGGCATAAATTGCTGTGAACGACAATGTCTGTGATGTCACGTTATTTTTACCGTGACGCGCTAATTTCTAGTTTTTATGCGTTTTTAAAACTATAATAACTTTTGATTCGTGATTTCGAATAAGAAATTTAATATATCGTTGGAAATATATTTAAGTCTACTTTCCAAGACAATTAGAATCAGGTCGAAATATTTTGTATATTTTAATATACGGTCATTTTAGTGCAAGGGTGTCGGTTTTGGGCCAAGTTTTAGTGTTTTGCCCATATCTCCTTCGTTTTAAATCGGAATTGGGCTTATGATATACCGTTAAATAGCTTATTTCAAAGTCTATCCAGTGAAATATTATTTGGATCAAATTTATAGTGACACAAAATCAGTTTATCTCGGTTTTGTGATGTAGACACGAAAGAGGAAAATAAGTTATGGTTTGAGAAAATGGGATTAGAATTGGGTTGATTTATGAAATATATTGGATTGAATATGGATTTAAGCACTCCAAAGATTAAATACTTAACTCGACAAATAATGACGGTGAAAGGTTGTTCATCATCGGGTTTGGTTTTGGGGACACATTTTTAGGTGTGTATAATACCTAAAAACTAAGTGAGTTGATTTTATTTATAAGCAAGAATCACAAAAAATCTACATTGCAACGTATGTCGTTGTTCTTTTTTAATCCTAAATTCGTGAAATAAATAATATTAGCCTTGTTTAAGGTGATTAATTAACAATTCAATTATTCCTATTATAATGTTTAATCAAGGAAATTTTGTCAAGAACTACCAATTAAAGTGCATGTTTTGAAAACAACTACCTGCTATTTTTTTTTTTAAAGAAGTACCACAAAATTGTAAATAGTTTAAGTAGCACTACCACTCTATTTGTAAAAAATCTAAGCCCTAACCCAGTCACCACCCACACCACCGACGACACTAACCCACATCGGTGGCTACCCGACCCCCTCCCCATCTCACCCTCACCTACTGCCGGCATCCTCTCCCATCCCCCGTTGAAATTAGTCCAGTTGACCACCAGAAATCCTGAAACACCCAGCCCTCGATTTTGTGTGGATTGCCAATCGATTTTGGATGCGGGTTTAGGTCTAGGTGAGGGCTGGGCTAGGGTTCGCCTCGTCGGCAAGGCTAGGGTGGGGATTTCGGCGATTGTGGGCAAGGGTGGGGATTTGGGAAGTCGCCGAATGGGTTTGTGGGGTGTGGGTTAAGGGATGAGATTGAGATGGTAGCTGCGATAGGCGTGGAACGTGGGATGAGGAGAGGGTGCCGACAATAGGCGGGGGTGGAAGCTGTCGGCGGTAGGTGATAACTTGTTATTTGGCATGATTTTAGGGTACTTTTGAACCTTGTTTTCGTTATTAATCGACATCAAAGTTCATTTTTTATCCTATTTTTATGCAAATTTTGTGCCATCCATGCTTCACCGGTTGTTTGTGTTTTTGATGTAATGTAGCTATTTTTAGCACTATGGACATGATCAAGCATGAGTGAGAAAGGATAAGGGCAAGCTTGGTTGATAGAGCCATGGAGAAAGAAGGAGGAATGCCTTAAAGGGAAATGAAAAGCTTTTGGAGAACCTTGAAAGGTCGTTTGCGTAAGCGTCAACTTCAACCAACCATAACTTTTTATCTTATCAACCTTTTGAAGCGATTCAAATTGGAGATTAAAGTTCGTCTCAAGAGCTTTCCAACGACTGGTCACAAGTCCATTTCCGACAAGAAACGTAGAAGTTACAGCTTCCCAAAGTTAAGCAGTCTAGGCAGGGCATCCTGCACGGACGTGCAAGATGATAGCACGTCCGTGCAAGTCTGCACGTCCGTGCCAAAAGCTGCACGTCCATGCAGACCTTGGCAGAAGCTTCTGCCTCCATTTTGGCCCTCCTGCACGTCCGTGCCAAACTTGGCACGGCCGTGCTTAGCCTTGCACGTCCGTGCCAAATCTGGCACGTCCGTGCAGACCTACAGTCGAACTCCTTCCTTGTTTTCTCCGTCCTTTTTATTTGGGGGTCATATAAATACCCCTTTAGAGCTCATTTGTACGGGGATGCAGTTTTTTAGAGCTTTCCTCTTAGTTTGTAGTCTTAGAACATTAAATTCTCAAATCATTAGTTAGTTCTCAATTATTAGCTTGGAAACATTCAAATTCAATCATTGTGGAAGACAAAATCCACCATTGTTGCTCACTTTGAAGCTTCATAGTAACCATTTCTTACTCATCTTTTCTACTTCTCTTTACTTTGTTGTTAATTATTTGCTAGTTCTTGCATGTTTTGGATTGTTAATTAGCTTAATCCTTAGTTTGAACTTGTTCATGAATTGCTTGAAATCTTTAATTGCTTTAACCCCCATGGATTGTGAGTAGTCTAAATTCTAGGGTTTGGGCAAAACCCTCAATGTAGTCACTAATTACTTGTTGCATGTGCTAATTTGGTTGTTGCGGGATGTTAATTAGTTGAGCTTAAGTGGTTTAATTGCTTAGTTCTTGTATATGGCCATTGCTAGAACTATTTATCCAAGCTTTCTCAACGAAGGATCGAGAGATGAACTTGAGTTAGCTCCCTTATGCTTGATTGACCCGAAATGCCATGAGAATAGGGATTACCGGTCAAGGGAATGTTTATGTCATCGTGATTATTCTTTAACACTTGTTTTATGCTATGTAACCACGAGAGTAGGTTGTACTCATGATTCAAGTAATCCCTCTAGCTTGAGAGAGTAGTTGGGTGCTTTAGATGACTTCCCCTAATTTATCCCATTAATTTACCTTGATTGTTGCATGCTAATTGTGATTTGTGATGAAATTGAGTGGTATAACCCAAGCCCTAGATTCCTCTTAATATTGTTAATCTCCTCTTAGCTTTAGTTGAGTTGAATTAGAAGAAGTTACTCAAAACCAACCCAATATAGAATTCATTTAGCTTATTTAAACGGTAGTACTCGGTGGTTGATTCAACGCCTCTCTTGGGTTCGACCCTTTCTTACCCTTACTATTGTTAGTGAGACCAAGATAGGAATCATTATCTTTGGTAGGCTCGACGACGGCCTATCAGTAGGATGGGGAAGGGGTTGCCGCTAGTGGGAATTAGGTTTGTCGGTGGAGGCTGGGTTAGAATTTAGGTTTTTTTTTAGTTTTTATTTTATTTTTAAATCCAATAGATTGGTGACACGGGTACCGGATGGGCCCCAGTAATGGATTTCATCCAAGAATTCGTTAAGTGGTGGTGAAATTCAATTGGATTTTTTTTTGTGCTGTTATAATAAAAGTTTTAAATTTTGTGGTGTTATAATCAAATTTTTGACAATTTTATGGTGTTATTTTCTAAAATTTCCTTTCATTTTTGGTTTTTTCTCTCTCTTGTTTACAATAACCTATAAATACTTATATAAATTTTTTTCAACATAATTTGCTTGAATAATAATTTAATACATTTATTTATTTGTTATAAACGTTTTGTGAAAATTATAACGAAACACTTATTAAAAATCATGAGAGTATTACACATTTCATTATATTAAAATGGCCTAATTTTATCTCAATTCATTGGGTCTCCATAATAGTTGGGAGTTGGAACGGTCTTAGTCGCCATAATATTGGTTAATGAAAGAAAAATAAAAACATTGAAACTAGTCCATCCACCGGCCCTTCTGTACCCTGCCTAGGAGACCACCACTAACTACCACCCTTTGGCGCACCGCTTCCCCAGCCCAACTGACCCTTATCCTTTCCCTCACCACAAAACCACCGGCTACCACAACCCCTTTCCCTAGCCAAAACGGAGCCACCCTTTTTTCAAATTCTCTTAATACGGTCATTGAAATCGGCCGGTTCAGGGTCAAAATCAGTCAATTTAGGTTCAAAACCGACCACTCAGCCCCTGAATTGGCCTATATTGACTAGTATTGGCTGATTTCGGTGGTCATTTTAGGGGAGTTGGTATATGGGCGACTGTTTTGGATGGGGGAAAAGAGTAATGACCAATTTTGGAGTGGGGGAAGAGGAGGGTTGTGGGTTTTGGTGGCTGAGTCGGGGAGGAGGTGTGCCAAAGGTGGGATGGTGGCATCTGTCTAGTGGGAGTGGGGAAGGGGATGCCGGTGGTGGGGGTAGGGTGGTTGGGTTAGTTTTGGGCTACGGAGGGGAAGAGAAGTTGGGCACCGGTAGGGGAAAGGGTCATGATTTTTGTTTTATTTAAAAATAATGCTATATAATTTTCTTTCCAATTCACCAAGAGAAAAATTAAAAGTTAAGTGTTACCAATGAGAATTTTTATTTTTTTAATATTACATTCCCATTTACCAATTGCTACATTAATTACCTTGACATTAAAATCTTTATTATTTCAATTGAATTTCTCTTATTAGGATTCATTTTTAATATATCCCGTGATTATATTTTTTTCTCCAAACTTTTGAATACCCTACATCTATTTTTCTAATTCCGCGTGTTTTGGCTGAGGATCAAATCCATCTTACAAGTGACTGACGTGGAAGGACTATCTCCATCCACCAAGCCAGCCTAAATAATCTTATCTGGATTGATACGCTATGATACGATATTCACTGCGTATCATACATCTCCATATTTGGTCAGAAAAACTAAAGCATAATCACGATCCGAGCTGATCCTATCCTTGGCTAGGCTAGGTTAGGTTAGGGTTAAGTTGACTCAATCAAAGTAAGGGTTAACTTGGACATTAGCCTATAAAATGTCACATCAAAGTCACATGAAAGGGTCCCAATTATCAAGGTTGCATATTTTAGCAACCACCTTCAACTCTCTCTCTCTCTCTCTCTCTCTCTCTCTCTTTCTTTCTCTGTCTCTTGTGGCGATCTCACCGCACTTCTCCCCTCTGAATGACAACAAAACTCCACTCTTTGTCCTCCAATTCAACCATTTCTTCACTCACTTCCTCATACCCTTTTCATCTTTTCCTGTAATTTATTTTTCTTTGTTAAATTCTTAACAAATAAAACCCTTTTAAATCTGCTTTTTATAACGATAATTAATTATGTCATCCTCAAATCCTCGAACTGTGGAAGAGATCTTCAAGGATTTTAGCGCTCGTCGTGCTGCTATTGTTCGTGCTCTTACTTCTGGTACTTTCTGGGTTTTTCTCTCTCCTTTTTTTTTTTTCAATTTTTGATTTCTGGGTTTTTTTGGGTAACCGTTTTGTGATCTGGGTTTTTGTTGTTTTTTTAATTTAGATGTTGACGAATTCTATGGACTTTGCGATCCGGGTAAGTTGAATTTTCTTTTCTTATTTTGTGATTATTTTTCATGGGTTTTTGATTCCGATGCCTATTTTAGTTAATTGGGAAAATGGGGTTTCAGATTTGATGGTTGATAAGATTTTTAGGTCAATTTTGGATTATGTTCTTGTTCAGTTTGTACATTTGGATTTTATTGTTTTCGTATTGTTGTAATTTTTATGGGTAATTGTAATTTGGCGTTGTTTTCATGAAATTCTTTTATTTCTGGGTTACTGAGTTTTCATACTTGTTAGTTGTTACCCAGTTCAATGCTGTATGTAGTTGTTGAAGTTAGTTGGCTCTTAAATTTTGGATAAAAAATTCGGTTTTGCAAAGTCTTCAAAAAAATTAAAAATTTATTAAAAAAATTAAAATTTTATTAAAAAAATTCAGCCTTTTTGTTTTTTTTTTTAAGACATAAAAAAACTCAGATTTATTGAGTGTATTTTTGTACTGAATTTTGATATCGAAATTCAGTGGTTAGCCTGAAGTTAAAATCTCAATATCAGATTTGGGTAGTTGGTGATGCATGAATACAAAAAGGGTTATTTTGTCTCAATTAATCAATCAATCAATCAAAGCCTTAATCCCATAATTGGTTAATTTGACTAATTTTGTTTAATTTTAAGTACATTAGTGAGATGAGTTATGTTGCATAGGAATTACATTGTCCTGTATTTTCATACGAGAGGATTTAGGTACAGGGGCAGGTGACAGCACCTTTTTTCTTAATATATCTCCTTTAAAATAGAGGTTCAAGATGAGCAAAATGTGTTTTACTTAACATGTTTGTAATATCTCCATAATTTGAGTAGTAAAGAAATGTCATCTGGATAGACCATCTTATAAATTACTGGGATTTAATCACGTAATTTACTGAACTTTCAATAGTATAAGGCTGATATTTGACCTTGAGGCTACACTGTAAGGCCAGAGCCTTGCTATTGCTATTGCTATTGTTATTAGCTATTGTGATATGTTACTGTGTAAGTGATATCTTGCTGAACCATGGTGCTAGAGTAGCTGATATTGTTTCATTTTGCTTGTTTTGTGTCTCCTTGCAGAGAAGGAGAACTTGTGCTTGTATGGGCATCCGAATGAATCGTGGGAAGTTAATCTCCCTGCAGAAGAAGTACCACCTGAGCTTCCCGAGCCAGCTCTTGGGATCAACTTTGCACGGGATGGAATGAACAGGAGAGATTGGCTTTCTTTAGTTGCTGTGCACAGTGATTGTTGGTTGTTATCTGTGGGTTTCTATTTTGGTGCACGTCTTAACCGCAATGAGAGGTATATATTTTCTGTTGGTCTTGTGTGTGGTTATATGCTTGTCTTTCCTTTTTATAAGGATGGACACAAGCTCTTCTGAGATATGTTGATAACCTGATAGTTATGCTGTGGATGACATGTTGGTTTATTGTTGCCATTTGATGTACATGTGCGCAGTTAATTTTGTCATGTACTCATGTTGACATGATTAAACACATTTATGGTTCTCCAATCTGCTTGGAGACAGCTGTCTATACAAACCAAAGTTTGGAAAATAGGAAGCAGAGAGAGGGAGATTTGGGGGTAATCATTTCCCCAGACTTCAGAGGCAGTGTCAAATGGTGAAAGAGACAGATGGAAAGTCAACTTTAGTGGTGGAAGTAGGGGCTGACTATATTGGGTTCTCTGAGGATAATAGTTGAGGACTAGTGATGGACCTGATGGCGTAGCCGCGTAGGACCAATAAGGGCAAGATTTAGACATGACAGGATGTTGAAAATAAAATTGCCAATGATGTTTGGCTTTGTTGGTGAGAGTCGTAGAAGAGGGTGGTGAAATTTGATCTAGAGTCTTTTTTTTAGGGATGATAGAAGAGGAAGATAGGAGGGAAAGGGAAGACTATATGGTTAGAGGGGTAAGGGAAGACTATATGGTTAGAGGGGTTGGGGAAGACACGAGTGGAAGTCTTAGTAAAATTAAGCACATAGGCTTAAGATGTCACTGTTGTAAGTTTTGTAACTTTTCTATGCCTCCACCCTATATTATACATCCACATGATTTTTTTTTTTTTTTTCCCAATAGTATTATGTGAATATTATAATACTTGGTATTTTACCAATGTAGTAATTCTTGTTAATGATTGAATACCTACCGTTTCTCAATATGTGCATAGTCCTCTTTTTCTATAATTAAATTGCATTGTGGAGTTACATTGTGATTGGTGTTTGTCTTGCATTTGCTTAAAATGATAAAAATGTGTCTCCTTAGGGTGGTTTAGAAATTCTATGGGCATGTCATTACATGAAAGAATTTAGTTAGAGTGGAGTCCTCATGTCCCAAATTTTGAGTTGTGGCAAGTTGCAGACCAGTTGCACACCTGAATAATATATCCATAGTTAACCTATACTACCTCCATGTAACAGCCATTATGCATTCTATAAAGTTTCCCTCTGTTGCTTTGTTAAGTTTGTCATTTTATTTTTAGTAGAAAACTGTAAGTGAAATAAGAAGCTGGTTGGTTTTTAGAGAAGTGGAAAGGAAATCAGAATCATAAACTCCTTTGTTGCTGTTTGGTTGTGCACTATTTTGATTAGAATGTTCAATAGGCTAGGATGGATGATTCATTAATAGAGGAGCGAACACTGAACAGTGGCAGATTTAAGTCAGTTGGGGCATTAATGTTGGGATTTTGAGAGCTGTGTGCGTTGTTGCTGAGATATAAAGAAGGGTCTGGAATCTTGAGAGGAAGAGAGAGGTGAAGGGAGGATTAACAAATATAAATATCCTTTTTGCTCAACTTAACGATACCCCCCCCCCCCCCGGGGGGGGGACTGTAATTTTTTTTGTCTTTAGTTTCTCTTTCTTCATTTCATTCCTTTCCTTACTCTTGAACGCATTTTGAATTTACTTTGACATTTTAAAAGGGGAGGGTACTCATGGGAGGACTCTACTGAATGGAATTTGCCTGCATGAACATTAGTTTCAAATAGAAACTTATCGCTGATGATTATAAGAATGAGTGGCCATTTAGAAAGGCATATTACAACTTTGAAAGCAAGTTCAAATTGAAGTTAAGGATTTTAGAGTAACAGTCTTTAAGAAGCCATCCTATAGAAAAACTGGGGAACTCTAATGATTCCTATGACGTATTCAGGTTCTGTAGAAAACCACCAAATAAAGTGTCCCACATCATAGAGTAGTAGAAATAGACCCCTTTATAATCTTGAGTTACTCCTATTGCAAATTGGTTTTAGGACAGAACCTCCTTTGGGCTTGTAAATGGTTCAAACTTTCTTCCATTGATGGGTGTGGCACTGTGTCCCAAACCCTTTTGGCCATTGGCAATTTTGACTTTCAGTTGATTGACAAGTGCTCTCTCTTTTATTTCCTCTGACGTTTTGTCTCTTCATTTCTTTCTTGGAAGATTATCTTAGATATACTCTCTATGGGGTACTATATAAGTAACCTTCTAGACTCTATCCCCCTTAAGCTTCTGCATTTTTTTTGATTCCATTGAAGTTTGACTTACCTGGGGATGAATCATATGATAATTTCCCTGCAGCTGTTTGTGATTGATCATAGCTTATTAATATCCACTTGTTAAACCAACTTGAGTCACACCGTGTTCTTTTTCTGAGAAGGTAAACTATCTAGTATGTACCCAAAGTAATTGATTACCTTAATCCTTTTAGTAACTGAGTTAGTGAAACATTTTCAACCACTTATACATTTTGTTGATGAAAATAGGTTGCTAGTAGGATTGATGAGATAGGATGCATGTGTCGTGTGTCTCATTATCTTGGCTTGAATGTGTGCAATGTGGTATCTGTATTTAGATTCTAATGTTGTTAAAGTAGCTGGCTTACACTCTGATATGTCTTGGCTTCTCTCTTATGAGATTTTCTGTGCTATCTGCATTGAGCTGTCACTCGGTGTGGTAAATTGATGATAAACATTTAACTTTGCTAGTCTGCGGCTTATTAAAAAAATCTTGCCTCAAGCAGGCTGGGACACATGAGGCACTTATCTGTGATTTATGGGTTCACTTCCCCCCTTTTTTTTATTCCCTTTGTCCCTAAATATAACCACCATTTCCCCCAAACTCTTGTCCCTAACTATAATTCCCAATTCTCATTTGGGCGGGGTAATTAACCAATACTTTTTTTTTTTTTCCTTCCTTATTTTACCTTTTTATTGTTAACTTTCAATCAAGAAAACCCCTCTATCCTCCATATTTTATCTTGTTGACCCTAAAAATAATAAACTGTTTCCACTACCTTACTTTTATATTATATTTAAGAAATAGTACTCCCATTCCGATTTATTCCCTAAGAATGTGTGACTGGGAGACGTGGGGCTTTTATTGGAGGACAGGAGTAAAGAGGATTGATTTGTTATTAACTGGGGTGAAAGGGGACACTGGTTTGTGACTGCATTGCCATTTTTATTTTTTATTTTTATTTTTTTAACTTGAAATATGCTACTCCGTAATTACTACTCCCTTCATTTCGAAAGATTGTTACTTTATGCGGTTATCAAGGAAAAGGAGATGGTGGAAATGATTAGATGTCACATATGTCGGGTACTTCACAGTTGGACATGGATGACTCAAGACATTTCATTTTTCATCAAAACATGCAAATTCTCCATAAATGCCTCTGACACTTAGATACATACCTGTTTCCAATACTTTGAATCTAGTCCAAACATAGTTTACCGAGATCTCAGTTTATGCTGTCTGTTTATTTGTTCTGCGAGTGTATTTTGTGTCGGCTTTGAATTAAAACAGCAGGCTGCTTATGTTCACAATTTTCTTTATTGTCAGTTGTGAAGAACATTATTGATAAAAGTTTTTTTTTTTTTTTTTTTTCTTTTTCAGGAAGCGTCTATTCAGTATGATAAACGAACTGCCAACTGTCTTTGAAGTTGTGACAGAAAAGAAGCCTGTTAAGGACAAGCCTAGTGTGGATAGTGGTAGCAAATCCCGAGGAAGCACCAAGGTGAGAATAATAGCAGTAGTTCATCATTATCTGGTTGTATTGATACATTATTAGGATTGTTGAATCCTGAGAGTTCCATTGAACTCTTGTTTATGCTTTTTGATAATACAGATATCAGTGACTTGTCTCTTGTGTCTTCTCTGGCATGTTTGTGATACACATCACATTGAATTTATGTGCTTTTAATTTTTTTGGTTATTGAGGGAGAAGGCGGGGGCTGATTCATATTGATTATATCAAATACTGTTGTGTGAAAAAATTTTATACGTAGTATTTTGAATTCAGAATTACATTTTGCCAAAACAAAAACAGAAACAACCTGCTTCTGTATGCTAGTCTCTCTCTGACCTGTATTATTTACACCACTTAGATTGCTACAAACTGTTAGGTATCGGTGTGAAATGTATATTTGCTACCGGATCTAGTATAAACTAGGAGATTGAAGGTGGTATGCTTGTGGGAAGGGAGAAAGTGTTTTTTTTATTCTTGGGGCATTTCCTTTGGGTCAATAATGCCCCTTTGTTTTCTTGCAGAGAGCAAGTGATGGGCAGATCAAGAGCACTCCCAAGCTGGCAGCTGATGAGGGCTTTGAGGATGATGAAGATGAGCAGGGTGAGACACTGTGTGGCAGCTGTGGTGGTAATTACAGCGCAGATGAATTTTGGATTTGCTGTGATATTTGCGAAAGGTGGTTCCATGGCAAGTGCGTGAAGATAACTCCGGCCAAGGCCGAAAACATTAAGCAGTACAAATGCCCATCTTGCAGCTTGAAGAAGACAGGCCGTAGTCACTGATGCTGGTACAAGGAAGATCAGAAGAATTTTTACCTGGGTGGCTGACATAGTATAGCAGATACTAAAACTATCTTTAAAGTATGAAATTTGTAGTTAAATTTGTTGCCAGCTGATGTTTGTTTATACAGCACCCGCATTTTAATGTGATCCAAGAGTTCTTTATCTGTCTGGGAGTCTTGTATTTTCTTGTATCGGATAGTCTGGTTTATGATAAATGTATTCGTATTAGTAGCGATAGGCAATAGCCAATCACAACTTGATGTTATCAGTAACACATAGGTTGATTGTCTTAAAATTTCAAGTATTCAGCAATCATTATACATCGAAAGCTGAATTTATTAAACTTAGCCCCAAAAGTTTCTCATTCTAAAATGTTTTGATATGCTCCATTTTTTAATAATTAATCTTATCTGAATTCTTCAAGATTCCAATGCAAAATGGAATCTATAATTAATTGAATATCTATATCAAAATATACTCAAGTGAGTTTTTGTTAGATTATTCTTTTTGATTTTTAGTATTAAGTACTTCTTATATAATAATTTGTATATTATGATATATATATATATGTTAAGATTTCTTAATTATCCAATTAAATTTTGCATTGAAAAATTGACTGAAGGAAAGGACTAGAATGAAATGACAAGTTAGGATGATAGAGGTACTCCTTCCTCCTAGAATAATTGACACACTTAACACTTGTTTTTTTTTTTTTTTTTTCCTCTCAACTTTAACCATTTTTTTAAAAAATATTATTTAAAATAAAATGTTAATAAACAAATTGTCGTTGGATTTATCCTTAATGTATATTGTTATTGGAATATTAATTTTTTTTTACTAAAAATTATTATATATAATATCTTTTGATGGTCAAACTTAATGATATTACCTTCGTTACAGGTTATGTGCAACGATTTGACATAAAGTAGAGAGGAAAAATATCTAATCGTTGCACATAATCTGTAACGAAGGTAGTATAAAAAGTCAAGTGTATCAATTATTTTGGGATGGAGAAAATAATCAGCAAACAAAAATCACTCTACCAAACAAATTCATTTGTAAGATATGACAAGTCACAAGAAATTAAAAAAAATAGTAAAAATTGAGTTTATAAATCCCAACTTTGGGCGGTTTACTATAAAAAATCCCAACTATGTATTATCCCTAAAAAATCCCAACTTTGATACCCATTTTCTTTTAAATCCCAGATGACCGGTTACTTGAAGAGATGGTTAACTCATTTTTTCTAAAAAAAAAAATTGCCACTTGTCAGAATTTTAATGGTCCAAAAAATAAAATTAATTTTTTTTTTTTTTTACAAAAATCTAATTTATTCAAAAATAAAAATAAAAAATAAAAATAAAAATAAAAAATAAAAATAAAAAAACCCAGCCCCCACCCCATCCCGGAAAACACCTCACCCCCACCCCACCCTGTCGGGAAATCGCCCCCATCCCCGAAAACCCCTCCCCCACCGTTGGAAAACGGCGCCCACCCTTCCCCCACCCCCGATAATCCCTCCCTGTCACCAGAATCCGGCGAAAAACCCTCCCCCCACCCTCGCGAAACCCTCCCACCCCCTCCCAAAACCCCTAACCTCGAAATCGCCCCTCTTCCCTTCCCCTACCCCTGAAATCGACCCACGGTTAGGGAAGGGGAAGGGGGTGTTTTCGAAGGTGGGGGTTAGGGGGGGTTAGTGGGTGGGTTTCGCGAGGGTGGGAGGAGCAAAAGGGGTGGGTTTCGAGGGTGGGAGAAGGTTGGTTGTCGGATTCCGGCGACGGGGAGGGGTTGTCGGGTGTTGGGGGGGGCAATAATCTGGCGGGGGAGGGGTGCGGGTAGGTTGTTTTCCGGGATGGGTGGGGGCTGCTGTGTTTAATATTTTTTTTTTGGTTTTTTAGTTTTTTTTTTGAATTTTTTTTGACCAATCCCGTGTTGACACGTGGATTGTAACCTAGGTAACAGGTTAGGTGACCTGTTAGGATCTTTAAAAGAAAATGGGTATTAAAGTTAGGATTTTTGAGGGATAATGCATAGTTGGGATTTTTTTATAGTAAATTACCCAAAGTTGGGATTTATAAATTCAAATTTTCCAAAAAAAACTATTACTCTTGCTTCCAATTTTCGATAAAAATAAAATAAAATTATTACTAGCCGACTTGGTAAAACTGGTTTTGTTTTTTGTTTTGGGGGTAAATATGGATTGATTATTTACTTGTTACTTGATTAAAAAAAAATTCGTAAAGACTAGCCGTTAAAAATGGCACAACTAAGGATAAATATTACGCGCAAAATCTTATAGATTTACGTAGTACTCAGTTAGTTACATTCTTTGGTTTAGTTTAGGAAAGTACTTTTCATCATTCCATGCATTAATTCTATCTACCATCAAACTTTCATAAACTATATATTAGACCGTTAAATGTTATAGATTTAGCGCGCAAAATCTTTTAGATATTATTTGGTAAGTTAATTTAGGAATGTACTTAGCTTGACCATCAAGTTCATCAACTCTATGATTTCAACCGGCAATATCATACTTTCCTAATTTAAACCTAATTCATACATTCATGCTTTTCATTCTATATATTAATATATACTCTTAACATTCTATGCTTTCTTTCACAGTACAACAATCATCCCTTCCTCCATTTTCCTTTCCTTTCCTTTCGTCGCCCAATTCGTAAACCAAACACCCTTAGCTTCGTACCACCACAAGATCAACCAAGAAAATACGGTGATGAGTAACAAAACAGTTGTTGACATTATGTCTCTTCCACCCAAAAAACGAACTTATGCCTTGGCTTTTTCTACTACCAATCAAGAACCCCATAATTCGAAACGTCTTAGAGGTGATCAATCTACTGATGTTGTTAGTAAGAACAATAATGGTGCATTGTTAGAGTCATTGCGTCAACACATCAAGAGCAATAATATGGATTTTAAAGACATTAGTGATGCTAAAATACTCTTGGACAAGAAGCTTACAAAATCCGACATGAATGGTAAACAAGCGCGATTATCACTCCCTAAGAAGCAAGTTGTCCCAGTGTTTCTAAGCCGTGGTGAAGATTTATTTCTTGAACAGAAAGTTGGTGTTAAAAAGAACGCTCACATCGACGTGAAGGTGATCATGGGATCGTCCGTGTACAATATGCATCTAAGTCGATGGAACTACGACAAGGGTTCATATAGATACGTTTTGAAGCACAATTGGAACAAATTGAGCTTGGATAAGGGGTTGAAGCTAGGGGATAACATTCGAGTCGCGTCGTTTCGATCGGAGAATCGTATTAATTTTGTCATCCTTGGTCCTAAACGTACCTTCACATTGTTTGGGAATAGAGTAGAAGATTATCCTTGGTATTAAATTAACTATATGTACGTTTTATAAGTTGATCTAGTTTTATTTAGAGTACGTATGTTTAATTAGTTGGGGTGATTTATGTAATGTAGGAAGATTGATTATGTTTCATGTAGAAAACATTAGTTAATTGGTGTGATATCTTACGTACTATATATCATTGTTTCTTGATCAAATATGGTCATATGAATATTATGTTAATCATCTTTTTAGCAATATTAATTTGCTTTATTGCTTCATTCATTGTTTATGGTGTTTTTATTCTAGTAAAAAGCGATAGTGGTACAATAAGTTAGGATTAATTATACAGATCATGTTAATTAAGTAGTGATTAAGACCCTGAAGCCCAAGGGCAAGTTGATCATGTTAATTCTAATATTTTTTTTTGATGGAATATCTATATACGGAGTATATATTATTATTATTAATTAAAACTCAAGGGCAAGACTTACTATCCGCCATATGTTACCAATACTTGGCAAATAATGTTGTCTTATGAAGTTATGATGTTGTTTCCTACTAATAATTGTTTACATCATATTTTTAACATAAGGCCAAATTCTAATTAATCGCCTTTCCAAAGCTGTCATTTATTTTTCTGATTTAGATAGCGTCTTGCAAGATATTTTTTTTTTAATTTATTATTATTATTATTTTTTTATTATTTTTTTTTTAAAACAAAGCCCCAAAGGCTTACTCATTCATCATTAATAGGGAGATCATGATCCAAAAACGGAACAACACAATCAGGAAAATTCGACAACCAAACTCTACTACCCAATACCCACAGAAAGCAATGAGCTAACTCATGCGCAACCTTATTACCCTCCCTACTAATATACTTCCAAGACACAGATTCAAAGCCTTGAATTACATGATAAATATCATCAAATATTAAATGGAGACTACTATCCCCTCTCTCTTGTGCTTCAATTGCGTTCAACACCCCCAAGCAATCACCTTCGACGATGATTCTTCGTACTCCATAATCAGCAGCCGCTTGCACACCCCATAGAATGGCCTTCGCTTCAGCTATCTTCGGCTCCCACCTATCTTCCACCATCCGAACAGCAGCAAGCACAGCTGCACCATCAGCTCCACGTATCACAACCCCTGCAGAAGAACCCACCCCCTCAAAAACACCCCCATCCACATTTAGCTTTAGCACGCCAATAGGAGGTGGCTTCCAGCGTTTGCGAGCTGATTTTCCCTTCGGTACAGCACATAAATCCTCCTTTGCTAGCTCCCCAATAAGTTTCTTCACATGCTCCATCGAGTGCTTGGGGTCACACTTCTCTCCTTCAAAAATCCACCGGTTCCTAGCGTTCCAAATAGCCCAGCAGGTCATAATAAAAAGTCCAAGCTCTGAGCTTGACAAGCGCTCCATACCAGCTAACACCAGGTCCTAGAAGTCTCTGAACTCCCCTCTCAAAATTTCGAACAGCTCGCACTCCTCCCAAATTAATTTGGCTATAACGCACTCCCACAAACAATGCAGCTCCGTTTCCTCAGCAACTCCACACACACTACAGCTAGCATCCCTCTCTTGTATTCTCTTACTCAACCCCTTAGAGGTGGGTAAAATTCCCCTACAAGCTCTCCAAAAGAAAATTTTAACTCTTGGGAGTATATTCGAATGCCATACCTTGTTCCAGATCTTAGTAGCTAGTGAAGAAGAAGCCACATTTTCGCTGACCCAATCCCCAAAAATCGCCCTATACGCTGACCGTACAGAGTATTTTCCGTCTTTCTCTAAATCCCAGCAGAGCTTGTCTCCGGGAAGGCGAAAACTAAGAGGAATGCTTAACACTCTTTCCCTTTCAAATGGCAAGAAATTTGCATTCACCTTTTCTACATTCCAGGACGCCGTGGGCAAGTGAATGAGATCACATACCCTCAAATTACACTTATCATGAATAACAGGAGATAGTACCTTTCTAGTTTGCGTCCCGGGAATCCAAGGACAATGCCACACCGGAATATTGAGCCCATCCCCCACCCTCCACCTCATCCCCCTTTGGATAACCCATTTCACACCCCAAAGACCCCTTCATGTATAACTCGGGTTATTCCCAATTTGAGCTCAAATAATCCCCATTAGCAAAATATACTCTTGCAATCAAGCTGTCCGGTTCTTGTATAATCCTCCACGCCTGCTTTCCTAGAAGGGCCGCATTAAAATATCTAAAATCTCTAAACCCAAGCCTCCCTGCTGCTTTCGGCTCACAAAGCTTCCTCCATGACAACCAATGGATCTTTCTCTCACCCTTCTTTTGGCCCCACCAAAAATTCGACACCATCGAACGCAACTCATCACAAAAGGAAGAGGGAAATTTGAACAAACTCATCGCATAGGTTGGGATAGATTGGGCCACGACCTTAATCAACACCTCCCGACCTGCCTTTGATAGCATTCCCCCTTTCCACCCTTGAAGCATCTTCCACAATTTCTCACGAACACCCTTTGTAATCACTCTCTTTGATCTTCCTACCACCGTAGGGAGACCAAGATACTTATCATGAATATCCACCAACTTCACTCCCATCAAATTGGCGAGCTCCCTCCTCTTCTCATCCGAAACACCCTTACTAAAAGACACCGTCGTCTTATCAAGATTCACTTTTTGCCCCGAAGCCAATTCATAAATATGAAGAATATTACGAATTGTCTCAACTTCCTCTACATTCGCACCTGAAAAAATAATACTATCATCTGCAAATAATAAGTGTGAAATAGAAGGGGCTGACGATGCCACTCTGATCCCGTGTAAACTACCATCCACCACGGCTTTATTTAATAACCCAGATAGAGCTTCTGCACAAAGAATAACTAAATATGGGGAAAGAGGGTCACCTTGTCATAAACCCCTAGATGGAATAAACTCCCCCGAAGGTGCCCCATTTATAAGAACTGAAAAAGTGACAGTCGACACACAATGCAAAACACGATCCACCCAGCTCTCCACAAAACCCAATTTCAACATAACAGCTCGCAGAATACTCCATTCAACTCTATCATACGCCTTAGCCATATCTAATTTCAAAGCCATGGACCCATTACTACTGCTCGAATTTTTCATATGATGAAACACCTCAAAAGCCACCAAAATATTATCAGTAATAAGCCTGCCCGGGATGAAAGCACTTTGATTCAAAGACGTAATATCCGAAAGAAAAACCTTTAATCTATTATCCAACACCTTAGTAATCAACTTGTACACCACGTTACAAAGGCTAATAGGTCTAAATTCCGTCATTTTGTCCGGGGACTTTGTTTTCGGAATCAACACAATAAAGGTCTTATTAATTTCTTTCGGAATCACATTACCATTAAGCACATCAATCACAAGAGTAGTAACAGCAGGGCCAACAATATGCCAATAAGTTTGGAAAAAGAGAGGACACATACCATCCGGACCGGGAGCTTTTAGGGGATGCATTTGTTTAAGAGCCGTGAGCACTTCCGCTGCCGAATATTCAGCACATAATCCCTCATTCATCTCACTAGACACACGTGGATCAACTACACTCAAAGCCTCATCAAAATTGGAGCCCACTGAAGATGTAAAAAGAGTTTGGAAATACTCTACCGCCACTTTACATATTCCATGTTCTTCATCATGCCTAACACCATCATCTGCAACAAGACACCCAATATTATTTTTTTGACGTCTTTGCGAAGCTTTCTTGTGAAAAAAACTTGAGTTCTTGTCTCCCGCAGCTAGCCATAATGCCCTTGAGCGTTGTCTCCAATATATCTCCTCATAATGAATCAAATCATTGATCTCCTTCATGACCTTCCTCCTTTCTCTAACCCGATTCTTGGACCTGCTACCTTTGTTGAGAGAAGCAAGTTTTTTCCTCCTTTTTCTAATCTCCCTAAAAATATTTCCGAACTCACTATCACTCCACACCTTAAGTTCAGCCGCACACGCAGCCAACCGACCCTCCACCCATCATCCAACTATGCCGAACCACCTCTTCACACCCATCATTCTCCACCCAAACTTGTTCAAAGCGAAAAGGCTTCTCCTTTCTCTTCGTATTACCCTTTTCCTCATCCAGCAACAACAAAATCGGAGCATGATCCGACCACTCCCTCTCAAGGTTAATCACTTTTGCTCTCGGAAAAGAAGCCATCCATCTTTGATCCGCTAAGGCCCTATCAAGTCGGCATTGAATGTTATCATCCCCCCATTGTCCGTTATCATAAGTAAACTCATACCCCTTAAAGTCTACATCACACAAATTCCAAGTATCCACCACCTCCCTAAAATTCCCCATTTGCCATATAGCCCTATCTCTACCACCTTTCCTCTCCGAATCGAGCAATATTTCATTAAAATCACCTACACACACCCACGGTTCTCCATTACCATTTGCTAGTTCACTAAGGAGCTCCCACGAGAGATGTCTATTGGTCACTTCCGGCCACCCGTAAAACCCCGAAAGTCTCCAAGCTTCATCCCCAACACCCTTTTTGACTAGCACGTCCACATGATGCAAAGACATCGATAGTAATTCCACCTCTAGACCACTCATCCAAAACATAGCAACACCCCCAGACCTCCCTCTACTATCCACCGCAACACCATCATAACCAACTAATTTATCCCGGACTTTACACATTTCACCACAACTCAATTTCGTCTCCATTAGAAAGATAAGAGATGGGGCCTCCCTCCGAATCAAATTCCGAAGGTTATTAACTGCAGAGGAATTGCCCAACCCTCAGCAGTTCAAGCTAAGAATACTCATTGAGCTCGACGGGACTGTTTAGCAACAGTCTCCGCCACTCGCAATCCGGATAAATCATCATCAGTCACCATACCATCCTTTAGTCCATCATTCTCTGTCCTACCCCTCTTTCCCAACACTACCTGATCCTCACCCCTCATATAGCTGTCATATGAATCTTTTTCTCTCGTCCTTTTTTGCCAAGTCCTCAACCCTTTCAAACTCTCTGTCCCCACCTTCCCACTAGCATCCAACTTACCATCCTGATGCGTACCATCCAGCACCTCCTTCCCTTTTTCCATCTTCCCCCCACTCGCATCAACCCCCTCACCCCCCGAGACAAGCTCACCTCCCCTCTTAACATTCTCCTACTCCCCCTTATTCACCACTACCTCCAGCTCCCTCACCCCCGATACAAACCCACCCCCACCCTCAATAAGCGGCTGCTCTCTCACGGGCACCTCTGCCTCCAACTCACTCACTTCCTTCTCATACTCCAAAGATGATTTTGCCTTCTCCTTAGTAACAAACAGTTGTTTCCTCCCACCCACTACCGCTTCAAGCTCTTCATCATCCTTCATCTTGCCCTTTCGAGGCGAGGCCCGCAGCCACCTCCCCCAGCCCAATTTTTCTTGTTTGCACTCCTCCGACACCAAGCAACAGTCTTTCTCTGAATGTCCAATAATCCCACGCGCGAAGCAGAAAAATGGCAATCTTTCATAAGCGAATTCCACCACAATCACATCCCCTTTTTTGTCTCTAACTCGCTGCACTCTTCGCAAAGGTTTTGTGATGTTTAAAAGCACTTTGACTCGCCTAAACCTATCCAAACCCAGCACATCCTGCTCCACCTCCAAGACTTCCTCCCAATTCCCCACAATTTCCTTCACATCATCATCAGTTCTGCAATTAAACGACAGGTTTTTAATTCGAACCCAGAAAGGAGCGTGCACAAGTGAAACATTCTCCGGTTGTTCATCTCCTTCCACTTCCCTTAGCACAAGTAATTTGTTATCAAAGCACCATGGGCAATCCCTCAGCACTCTCTCCTTATCCCTCCAATGGAAAAATTGGAAAGCATAAAGATTAGGACCCAAGACCCTAATAACTATTTTGTTAGTAACACCCCAAGCCTTTGTCATGGTATTCTTAAAAGCCTCGATATTGTACGGTCTCTCAGTCACAAGTCTACCAATCAAGAGCAAATGGAATTTGTCATTCGGAGTTTGTTTGTCAACAGCCCCTAGGTCCACGACACCATTCTCTTCCTCCTCCAATCGAAGCCTGGCATATCTTTCAGCAATATCGTCAGCCATGATCAATCAAAATCAAGAAACAGAAGAAAAATAGCCGTCTCGAACGGCAGCCCAACCCTACTTTCTAGAGAGAAAACCATTTCTTTTGAGGGAGATAGTGCTCAATTGTATATTATTATTATTATTATTATTATTATTATTATTATTATTATTATACAACCTACAATAAATTAGTGAAAAGCCGAGATACAATCTAGCTGGGCCCCACTCCTCTAGCTATAGCAAAGCCTACCCTAGTAAAAAATATGAGCTGCAGCACGTGCTTCAATGTCTTGCGTCGTCGAGAACCTCTGAATTCGCTTAAGCAACGCAACAGCCTCCTTCTCTAATTCACCAAACGAGGAAAAGGAGAAGGGAATGAACCCATATCCAATCGCCTGACAACGAGCCTCATACTTATCCCGCTTCCGATGAGCTGCATCAACCACAACCCGTCCAGGAATAAAGTCAGATAGCCCTGACTGTGTCAAAGGAGAAGATCCCGTCAAATCTACACAGACATCACGACCACGATCCCAAAAATTATTATTATTATTATTATTATTATTATTATTATTATTGTGTGTTTGTTGTCTTTTAATTGTAACTTTAGTTCCTTAGCTTTGTGTGGTCTTATGCCAAAAGAGATGTGAATTTTGAATTTATTGAACATTATATTTATTAAAATTTATTTTAGTTGTAATTTGGATTTGAGTAACCCTTATTAGAACTTATTATTTGTGAACTTATTAGATTTGAAATAAGTACATATAAGTTAGGTTAACAAAGGTGATTGTATAATTTAATTAGGTAAAAATATTCAGCAAATACTTACACTCCTTCCATTAGTGCTAGCAAATTAGTTAAAAAGGATTATTACAATCCGACTAATAAATTAAACTTTTTTTTATTTATTTTTGTCAATAGGGATAGTTAGCTGATTATAAAAAATAGTCATTACTATGTAAAGAATTAGGACTAAGGATGAATGTGTGTAAAATATTTAAAAATAATTTCCTTGTAATTAAATTTAGGAAAGTACTTGGCTAACAAGTTCATTAATTCTATCTGCAAAATCAAACTTTCCTAATAATATACCCAATTAATCCACCCAATACTCCGTTCTAATTAAAAAACGTTGACCAAAACTTCTTATAATTAATTTATTTGCATTATTTTTATTATTGGTCATTAAGATATATTACTTGATTATAAAAGATAAATAGCCGTTAAAAATTGGTATTAGGATGTTTACGCGCAAAATCGTTTTAGTATGTAATTTCCTTTGGTAAGTTAATTTTTTGGAAAGTACTTGCAAATCAAGTTCATTAATTCTATCTTAAACATCAAATTTTCCTAATCCTATTCTAATTAGTGCATGCTCTTCATTCCGTCTATATATTCTACTTCCGCATTCAGCATTCTTTCATTATTTCTCTACTCCAAATTAAACCCTCATTCATCATACCTTCTTCCTCCATTTGATCCTGAATTCGTAAACCCAACACCACCAAATCATGATCCCCAACAATCTTCTTCCTCCTACGAACCTTTGCCTCGGCTTTTTCGTCTACTAATCAACAAACTCCTATTCTTGATCAACCCGACGACACTTTGAAGGCTCACAAACCCCTTCCTAAAAAGCGAATTTATGCCTCGCATAATCATGTACTTGTAGTAGATAAACCCAAGTGCTCGAAACGTCCTAGAGTTAACCGTGATCAACCTATTATTGGTAGTAACAGTAGTGCATTGCTAGAACTATTGCGCCAACATATCAAGAGCAATAATATGGATTTCAAAGACATCAGTGAGGCTAAAATAATCTTGGATAGGCAGCTTACATCATCCGATTTGAATGGTACACAATTGCGATTGTCACTCCCTAAGAACCAAATAGTCCCGGTGGTATGTCTAAGCCGTGATGAGGAAGCTTTTCTTGAAAAGAAAGTTGGTGTTAACAAGAATGCTCACATTGAGGTCAAGGTCATCATGGGGGCGTCTGTATACAATATGCGTCTAAGTCGATGGAACTACGACAAGGGTTCATATAGATATGCATTGACACACTAGTGGAACACATTGAGAGCGGACAAGGGGTTGAAGCTAGGGGATACCATTCGAGTCGTTTCGTTTCGATCGGAGAATCTTATTAATTTTGCCATTCTTGACCCTAAACGTACCTTCGCATTGTTTGGGAACAGAGTAGATGATTATCCTTGGTACTAAATTAACTAGTTGGTGTGATGTATGAAAGATTGCTTGGAAGTACAGAAGTAGAGTATATGTTAAAGACTTAGTGTTGATCTTGTTTAATTAGTTGGTGAAGTGTATGCAAGATTTGTGTTAATTTTATGTTGAAAAACGTTGATTGGTGTTATATTTAACGTACTATTCATTAGTTTATTGTTATATGATCGATTATATTATTATTTGTTAATAATGTTTTAGCATTAGTTATTTCCTTCATTACCACAATAAAATTTATACATTTATTACTGAAATTTTTGTGTATTGATACGTTTAGGTTTAGCATATATACTGATGAATGTAGCATATTGCTACTAAGTTTACTTAGCAGTTAGCACGTAGCATATATATTGTCCAAGTAGTATCATTGTTTAATGTCGATGATTTTACTTGTACAGATAAAGTTCTTGAATTTTAAGACTCGAAAATGAAATTGATTGAAGTCCATGGATTTCGAACCAGCTCGGTGATAGCAAAGGCAGCCCTTAATGACTTTAACCTGTTATCCGTTCTGATCTACTACCTCCGTTACATATTATTTACAACGATTTGACATAAAGTAGAGAGGAAAAATGTCTAATCGTTGCAGATAATATGAAACGGAGGTAGTATTCACAATAAGCATAAACAAAGATCCATCAACTTCTAAAGATTATACATATTTCAGAATCAATTTTTTTGAGAAATAGGATAAAAACGGCTTGCTTATGAAAAGGATAGTCTGTACACAAATTTGCAATAGCAATTTAGGATGTTACTACTAGATTACTTAATACTACACATTAACCCCATAGCAAAACTTGTTAAGAAACGAGAAAATCGCAGAAACAAAACGTGAAACTCAAAACCAAAGTTTTCTTTTATGTAGGGAATCTAGTGATGGAATCAGGCCTACTGGGGATTTGGGGGACGGCTGTTAGCAGCAGATACTCGGGATCCCCATTCAAGCAGTTCTTTGCTTGTATCATCCTTGTGCACTATCACCTCAATGAAGCACAGACAATCTTTCTTTGATCCTGTCGCGGTCTCAATTGCTTCAACAAGCTGCTCTTCATTAAAGACCTGTCCAGAAATGCAAAGCCCAGAGACTCCATTAGCAACGAAAACAATGAAAGACTAGTAACCAGATTACTTGTAATGTTAAAAGCATGCTGATGTTCAAAACAGACCTTAGCTGTCCAGCAATTCCCTTCACCGTTGTGAATTGCCTCAATAAGAGCTGTGTAGTTCCAGTTTTTGATGACATTGTATGGACCATCATGGATCTCAACTTCAATGGTGTATCCACCATTGTTGATCAAGAAGATGATAGTCTTTTGCTCACACCGCAACATTGTTGACACATCTTGAGCAGTAACCTAAGCAGGCAAGCAAATCAGAACTTCAGAAGTGCAAAAAGAAAGAGGAAAAAAAAAACACTTCACATCAGAGTATTTCAGCCAAGAAGCATAAATGGGTTAAATAGAGTACATTGTGCATATGAATAGTTGGTTATTGGGAAATAGTTGACATAGTAAGCAGACCGGGTCTTGCAACTCGCCCCTGGAAAGTAAAAATAAGGGTCTCTATGTTCTTCATTGGAGAATATCCAAGGACTTCAACTGAAAGCAGATTTGAAAGCAAAACTCTGATACTAAGGACAGCTATTGATAATATCTCATGGTCAGGAGGATATTATCCTTGCTCTTAAACAGCTTTACTTTTTGTCAAATTAGTTATTGTTTTAGACAGATAATTATCGATTCCCATAAACTGGCCATTACTGGAAGGATTAATGGGAACCAATCTACTACTTAATATGATGATTAGTGCCTGTCAAATTACATATAGTCTTCATAATGTACTTGACATCATATATACTGTAATGATTACTATCTAGTGGGAGAACATCATAGTAAAAATGCAAGTAAACTATACCAACAAAGATAACCGGTGGATGTATCCATGACTATAAAAGACAGTATATTCAAGTTAAGGTTCATTGAAGCAATAACATTCGATTTGCATATGACAATAAGAAATATATATTCTGCTTCACCACGAAATTTAGCTGGGATAACACAGAAAGAAAAGAAAGAATACCTGGAAACTCCCATCACCTATGAAAGCAAGGACCCTCTTATTGGGAACAGCTTGAGCATAACCAAGAGTTGCACCAACCGACCACCCAATAGATCCATATTGCATCTGGAACTCATACCTGGAAAACCCATATCCTGTTAAATATACAAACCAAAAACAAATGATAATTCAACATTGAGCAAAGAGTTATTCACATTGACAAAGCATACCCGCATCCCTCGGGTAACTTTAACTTCTGACAATTGAACCATGAGTCCCCTGTCTCAGCTATCACAGCCGTGTCACTTGTAAGCAATTTCTGTACATGCTGAAACAGGACATTGACCCTCAGTGGCTCATGAGGCTCAGACTTCAGAGGCTTGCCCTCGGGAACAAAGATTCTACTGTAGTTTTCAAAGGCTGTTGTGTTTTTCTTGATTTTCTTGGCTAACTCTTTCAAAAAGTCCTTCATCAGAACACACCCAAATGCAGGGCCGTTGCCAATAACGACCCTATCAGGCTGCACAAGGATTGCCTTCTCTCTCTTGAGAAGCAAAGAATACCCGACAGAGCTATAGTCATTGAAAATAGGGCCTGCAAACAGATATGCGTCAGCTGACTCGACAATTTCAGCACAAAAAGCAGTACTCACTGCTCCCCAGTATGTCCCAATGAAATGAGGATGGTGCTCTGGTACTAGGCCTTTGGCCGAGGGCATCACTGCCAATGCATATCCTGATGCATCAGCTAAGTCAACAAAAGAACCACAGGCCTTTGCCACACATAATTTAGGCCCACCAACCATGACAGGCTTTACAGCCTTGTTTAGAAAATCTGCTGCTGCCTCCACTGCAGCATGGAGACCCATTGGGTTACTCAACCTGCATTGCAAAAAAATATTACAGATTACATGCGTTAAGTATTCGCCATTGTATCATTTCTGATTTTCTGGTATCCATACAAAAAGACATTTTCTACAGACAAATTAACCTCTATAAGAATAATATGATGCAGAGGCTAGAAAAGAACATAGATGTCAGCAAACTTCCACCACAACAGGATTAATACCCAATTTTCTTGCTTCGGACACAACAGGCCGGATAAAGCGGAACAAAAAGGGTATCAGCCAATCACAATTTACATTCATAATAAGTCGCATTTTGCAATTTCACCTTAAGTCTATTCAAATCTACCACTGTCTAACCATGAATCACATGACCAAATAGCATCCAAAATGTCAATTATGGTTCATTCAGGGTGCAAGGCACAATACACTGTATGGTATAAAAGTTAAGTACCCAAGCACACCACGTCACAAGGATTTAATAAAAAGAGTCAGGGTACAATGGTAAATAGTTAACAAGAATAAGAAGGGTATCAGGCAATTTTTTTAATTACATGATAAAACATAATAATGGCACCCAACAAATAATTCTAAATATAAATTGTCCACAAGGTCAGGCAGAAAATACATCAATTTAGGTAAGAGATCCATATATATTCCCCACATATTAAATCCCAAATGCCCTACAAGTGATACCTCGATGTACTCTATTCATATTAGCATTGTCTACAAGTCTACAACCATGAACGCGGATGATAGATTTTCGTCTCACAGGCCACAGCATATATATACAAGGTACACAATGTATGGTAATTAAAATTCAAGCTTAGCATATCACATGTTGTAGTGTTTTAGTATAGGAAACAATAGAATAGATTCTTGAACTACAACCAAAACTCCTTCAATGATCTAGTACCCAACAAGATGCAAAGACAAATCATGGCAAGGTAAAACTGTCACAAGAAAGGTATCAGTCAATCACATTATTCTTATGATCACAGCACATTCACAAGTTATTTTAAAAGCAGGCATTAAATACATCAATTTCAAGTAACAGAATATCAAATTTCCCAAAAATCAAATCCCTAATCGTCCAAATGCCCCAAAACACGACACGCTATCAACCCCATTCAAACAAAACCTGAATAGATCACTTCTAGGACATTCAAAAATCAGGATACAAAGTATATGACTGGTATGACACAATTACAATGTACGTCATGATAAACTAAATGCCTAGCTCTCAACACATCACATGGGATTCTAAACACCTAATGCAGACACTAGATTCTTTAATCAACTAGTAAGTAACAAAAAACAAATCCAAAACATTCCAATATTATATACACCCAAACCATTTTCTTATCCCAATTTGTCCTCCGTCCATTCTAACAACTTTTCACCCAACAAATCAAAGAATCACACGTATATTACAACTTTAAAAAGCAACTAATTAGAGTAAAAAGTTCTTAATGTGTTATCATATCATATCACTTCACTTAATACATACTAGTATAATAGTACTTCATAGTATAAACTATTCTGATGACTTGACTTGACTTCAATTTTGATTATCAAAATCACAACTTTACCACTTTTGTTATTATGGAGTATAATATTCACAGATTTATCCCAAATCATAACATTAACACTCAATTAACTTCAAAAATCATTGTCATATTTAGTAATAACCACAAAATTTGACCATATATCGCATATTAATAGATAATAGCACTCTTTAACCAAAATAAAATCACGGAGGTAAAAAAAAAAAATAGAAATAATACAATAATTAACATTAAATAAATAAAGAAGGTATCAACACCCAAAAAAAAATCCAGCAAAATAATAATAATAATAAAAAAAACCAACAAAATTTCAAACCCAAAAAATAAATAAATAAAAAAAACACAGGAAACAGAGAGATGAATGTATGCCATGATTTAGCAAAATATTTCACAGGAATTTGACCCATAAAGGTCAAAATTATATTCCACAGGTTTCAAGCAAAAATCAATAACAATATTCAACTAAACTTAAAGAAAAATAATCCAAAAATCCAGCCAAAAAAAAAAAAAAAAGAAATCATGAAAACAGAGAGAAAATTTTACCTGGGAGATAGAGAAAAAGGAACAGGTTCCCGGCTAAAAGTAGGATGAGGAATCGCCGGCAAATTACAACCGATGCTAATATACACCGGTTTACTTTCCTTCAACGCCGTCGAAATCGCCGTATCAATCAACTCATGTGCATCATCAAGATTATTAACCACCGCCTAATACATTCCAAAAAATCCATCACAAAAATATTCAAAAAAAAAAAAAAGAAAATAAATAAATAAATAAATAAAACCGCCATTAACGATGAAACACCTGAAAACAAGTGATGGTTTGAAAGCAACGAAGCTCTTGACTAAAATCAGGCAAACCAATAGTATGATGAAGAACCCTGTTAGTTCCATAATCATTCGAGTTCGGCCCACCAACGATACAAATCACGGGTAGATTCTCAGAGTAAGCACCAGCAATCGCATTCAACACGCTCAACCCGCCAACAGTGAAGGTAACAGCGCAAGCACCGACGCCGCGAGAGCGAGCATAGCCGTCGGCGGCGTAACCGGCGTTGAGCTCATTGCAGCACCCGACGAGGTTGAGACCAGGCTCGGCTAGGAGGTGATCGAGGAGAGTTAAGTTGAAGTCACCCGGAACGGAGAAGACGTCGTTGACGCCGATTTGAACGAGACGGCGAGCGAGGTGACGGCCTAGAGTGGATTCCGGTGGTGCGACGGTGGTTGTGGTGGTGGTTTGGATGGTGGAAACGTCGCCGTTTTTGGAGGGGCAGCAGATGGTGGTGTTGGTGGGGGTGTTACATGTGTCTATTGATCCTATTTTGGTGTCCATTTTTTGGGAGGAGAGAGAAATTAGTGTGTAAGAAAATGATTGTTGTTGAAATTTATGGATTTTTTTTTTTTGGGTTTGGACGTGATTATGGGAAGAAAAATGAGAGAAAATTGGGGACTTTTATAGGGTGGTTAAAATTAATTTATTATTTTTAATTTTGGGAAAAAAAAGAAATGAAATTTTTGTTTCTTGGTGAAGGGGGGAAAAATAAACAAGGGGCGGTTTTGGTTTATACAGTAATTAAGGATTAATTATTTTCTTTTTCTGGGGGGTTTTTATGATTGGCGGCTGAGAAAAAGTGGTGACTGTGATAGTTTTATTGATGGATGGATGGATGGATGGATTAAGCCAATACTAGTCAAATACAGGCATACAGCTACATAAAACATGATCTAGAAAATTCTTTATTATTTTTATATATATAAAAAAAAACTAAATAATGAGTTTTACTATTCTATTCTTTATTAAAAAAAAATAATAAAATAAAATTAGTAAGGAGTATTTTGTTTGGGGTGTCCGTTCGGTTTTCGGTTTGGATTTAGTTCAAATCCGAATATAATTCCGTTTTCAATTTTTCAATCTGATCTGATTCAAATTTCTTTCCCAATCCAATTTGATCCAATCCAAATTGAAATTCGGTTATATGGATCCGATCCAAAAATCCAAATATATTACGAGTATTTTTAGCGCCTAATAAGATTATAAAAATTAAGTTTTAATATAAATACAAGTCTTCAAAATCATGATTAAAATAAGTAGTTTAACATCGAGTCGTTAATTAAGTAATACAAAGACTCCCTAATTAAATTTATGTAATAGGAAGTATTTGACTTAAGCTTCAAAAACAAAGAAATCCACATTTATACCTGCTTAATTTTACAATTCGGTTTTCGGTTTGATTTGGATCCAATTAGGGTCATCCAATCGAAAAATTCGAATTTTCAAAAAATTAAAAAAACATCAATCCAATCCGATTCGATTTAAAGTCCGGATCCGATCTCAATTGATAATTCGGTATGGGCTGGATTGAATTTCGGTTTTAATCCAAATTATGGACACCCCTCTTTATACTATGTTACCCGTGCGATACACATATATGATTAAAAAAAAAAGAAAAGAGAGAGCTATATACTAAAACAATACTCCGTATCAATGCATAAAATAATGTTTCATTGGGTAAAGGGCTGTCCTCAAAAGGTTTATTTAAAAAAAATCTTCAGTGAAGAGTTTAATGTATATATATTAGGGTAATGCTATATGCAGCCCTAAGGCTGCATATAAGCATTTAATATACTTCCTTTTTTAGTATTAAGTTGGGAATTTATCGACAATTCACGAGTAAATCGGTGTAATAAATGTTTATTAATTGTCAATTATTCTTTCCATTTCTTTTTCCTATATATTAAAGTATTTTGTAGTCAATATTTAGTTTTTTCCACTAAAAAATGTGAAAGAAAAAAAATTTTAAACGGGAAAAAATTGATGAAAGAGAAGTGGATACATGTACAATTTGTATAAATGAATGATGTTAGCTGTTGTTATTTTAGTATTGATTATACATAGATTGTAATTTGTAAACCATTGAATTTTAATAGATTAAAAAAAAAACACTCCATATTGTATTTCATTTTAAGGGTTTAGATTTTCAACATTTGATAAATTTCTTCCCTTTTTGACGTGTTTTATGACCTATTCTTTTTTCATTTTGTCATAATTTGCTCTTTATACATTGAATTTATTTGCTATAATGATATTATAAAAATGGATATTACTGTAGAAATTTAATTGATTTATTATTAATATTGACAATTTTTTGGGATTAAGGAGGTAAGATATTGCAAATAAGAAGTATATATTTGTACGATTTGATTAATTAGGGCCTGTTCTCATTGACTGAACTTAGCTGAATTGAACTGAACTGAACTAAACTGAACTGAGCTGAACTGAACTGATCTGAACTGAAATGAATATTTTATAAGTGAAGGAAATTAGGAGATGAGCTGGACTGAACTGAGCTGAACTGAACTGAACTGAGCCGAACTGAACTGAACTGAGCCAAACTGAACTGAATTTCAACGTAAGAGAACAGGCCCTGAATTTATATATTTGACTTTGAAAAGAGGCAAGCTATCTATATATTTTCATTTACTCTGTAAAGGAAAAAAAATGCAACCTATAAGGCAATAGATCACTCTAAATTTCTAATAATGTATTCGTGGTAATTAAGAAGGAAATGCTTTGACATGCAAAAAACAGTTAATATACTAGTATGAATGGATTAGCTTAAAGATACTCCTATTCAATTTTTGCATACTGTTGTCAAACTTAACTTTAACTTTGTAACAAATGATTAATCATCTATCTGTTGACGTAGTACATCAAAAACCACTTAATTAAGAACAAATTAGTAGTCTGTAGTCGATATAAACACTTGTGACTTGTAGTACCTCAGCTTGATTTGTTTATTAGATTAGTGAATTTTCACAAATATTTAAATTAGCAGGAACTGATTGACGTAATAATTTTTTTTTTTTTTAAAAAAATGGAAAAGCTAAGGAAGCAGAGAGTTACGAGTATACAAATTATAATTTGCATGGAAATAAAATAATGGACTTGTATTATTCCACCTTTTTGTCAAAGGAGAATATATGAGTCAAAATAAACTTCAAACGCCTAAAGAAAATGACTTATAAAATTACGACCGTGGATAATACTTCCTCACAATTTTTTATAAATTAATCTCACCCATGATATGGACAAATCATTAAGAAAAAAATATTTAAAGATGGAGTATTTTTGTATATGTAAATTGAAGTAGTACTACAAAATTATTACGATGAACAATTTTTTTTCTAATCTCATTGTAAAAAAATATTTAATTATTAAAAACCTAAACAAAAATCAAGTTGTCTAATATAGTAATATATTTATAGTTATTTTTTTGGTTGATATGTTTCGTTTATCATATATGTCAATATGAACATCTAAATTAAGCTATTAATGTTTAATATCACTAATTGTCAATAAATAAATTGTAAAAAGTTGATATTACATTAAGATGATTCCATGAAAATTCCTTGTAACTATTGTTTTATATTTTCTACATACATCAGGTAAATAAGTCAAAATAGAATTTATAAATAATGTGAAAATTAAAACGCATACCAAAAAAGGGAAAAAGCATTACGTACTCCATATTGGGTATATGTTGCATTATAATATTGATGCAAGATGCAAGAAAGTGCATGCATGCCGCTGCCTAGTATGTAGCAACAAGACAACCTAACATTCTAACAATTGGTTGGTTAATAAATTAATACTCGTAATAATAAGTGGGTTTAATGGAATTCAAAATAGGTAGCGCGCCATGTATATATCATATATGATGCGCACACCGGTTTATAAACAAGCAAAGCAACCCATCATAACCGACCGTAACATGGCACGGCCAACACCCGCTCTTAACGTGGAAAACGAAATGCCTAAACCACTTTAATGTCTTCAATTCTTGACTAGTGAGAGGGTTTTTAATTAGTACTCCGTATTGAGATGATTTAACTCTATTATTACACTAATTGAAATTGTTTTTGCCTAGGCCTAGCTAGCTAGCTCTTATTACTATACATCACAATTCCTGCATTATTTTGACTTTTTATATTATCGTCTAGAATAGTAAAACCCTCAATAATGATATATTTTTCTAGGATCAACAATATTAATAACCCTAAAATAGTTGTACAATCAATCTAATATAGCAAAATAATATGGCATATATACAATATACGCATACCATACCATACCATACCATACAACATATCCAAAGGAATAAGCGTGATAACCTTCGAAAATAATGAATAACCACATGCGTACCATACAATGTTTTCAAATGTAACAAGTTCAGATAAGCTTGGTTAAGTTCCAGAAAAAAGTACTAATAAGTGTATGTTACCCAAATATAAAACTTATTATATGAACTCAACTAATTTCACTTTTTATAAAAAGTTTTGACAAAGTCTAATAAGTTCATATAAGTTCTAATAAGTGAAAAACAGGTGAATAGAATATACCCTGAAGGTTATGCATGTATAATGTTACTCGTTGACTTTAAACAAGGGTGTAGCTACGTTGGTGCACACTGGTGGCCTGGACGTGCATCACAAGTTTTTTTTTTGAAAGTTTAGTTAAAAAATTAAATTAATAACTCAATCAAAAACAGGGGCGGAACTAGGGTGGGTTCAAGTGGGTTCATTGAACCCACTGATTTTTTGAAAAAAATTTAAATTTTTTTTTTTTTAAAAAAAAAAAAATCAAAATAGGTTTAAATAGAATATTTGTGTATTATATGGCAACAAGTAAAGTTGTAGCCCAGTGGTTATTTTTACCTCCCATCACACAAGAGGTTGTGGGTTCAAAACCCATAACTCACATTTTTTTTTTTTAATTTTGTTTCCTGAGCACTGAGCTTTCCTGCTTCGTGCTTCCAGAGTTCGCTTTCCTCTTCCTCATTCAGTCATTCCCCCAAATTGCAAAACCCTAACTTCTTCCTCCAATCCTCCTTCTCTTAATCTCTTCCCGTTCTTCCTCCTTCAGTCCTTCTCTTCCCGTTCTTCCTCCTTCTCTTCCCGGCGCAGCACGGCAGCAGACTAGCAGAGTCAGCAGAACACGGCGGCAGCGACAGGCCGGCAGCGCACCAGCCACTCACCCAGACCCAGCGTCCCAGCCTCACAGCCGTGTATGGTGTATCGGTGTATGTAGGGGTAAGTGAATTTGGGGATTTTTTTTTTTGCAAATGTAATTTACTTCTCAATTTGGGGATTTTTTTTGCTAAATCATTGAATACTTGAAAATTGAAATTCATATGCTAAATTCAATTGCTAATATACATTACGATTTACGAATTGCCAATTTTTTGTAAATTGCTGAAGTTTGGTTAATTGGTTATAATTATCTAATTTACTTCTCAAGTTCTCAATTTGGGGATTTTTTTGTATTTCGTATGCTATTTTCTGATTTTCATATGCTATTTTCTGATTTTTTTGTAAAAGCCGGTTGTTTAGCTACTGCAAAGTTGCTGCTGGAGGTTTAGTTGTTGCTGGATTTGCAAAACTAGCTTCTTTCCGTGAAGGCAGTGGCAATGGCATGTTTCAAGTTAGAGAATGGTTCAAAAATATTCGCGGAAAAGGACCAGAGAATAACTAAGGACTTATAAGCATTCAAGTGTTCTTATTATGGATTATGTTAATTAGTTTTTGTGAGTTTAAGCTTATTACAATTATATATTCAGTTGAAAATCTAATTAGGTAATTTAACATTTTTAGTTGGGTGATAAAATTGGACTCTGCCTTACAAGCATTAGAACTAGGAGAAATTGAAAGTGGGCAAGGTTTAAACCAAGAACATGGCTTAGGTAGGCCTGGTGATACTAGGTGGGGATCACATTACAAAACTGTTTCAAATGTTACCGCATTGTATGCTACTATTGTTAAAGTTCTTGAGAAGATTGGATCAAATAAGATTTATAAGGATGATCGCGTGAAGGCTATCACTGTCATGTCTACATTTGAATCATTTGAATTTGTATTTATGATACATTTGATGTCCGAAATATTTGGGATTACTGATAAATTGTGTCAAGCTCTGCAAAAGGGGGACCAAGATATTGTTAATGCCATGACATATGTTAAATTGACTAAGGAGGGATTACAACAAATGAGGGACCATGGGTGGGAAGACTTTTTACATCTTGTGGTTTGTTTTTGTGTTAAACATGATGTAGAAGTTCCTACTATGGATGATATGTATGTTCCTCGTGGAAGGTCAAGACGCTTCTTTGCCAAAGTTTCAAATCTTCATCGATTTCGGGTAGAAATGTTTATAAGTGTTATTGATTTACAACTCCAAGAGCTCAATAGTAGATTTGATGAAGAAAATATGGAGTTACTTATTTGTGTGTCATGCTTAAACCCGATCAATTCATTTGCGGCATTTGATATGCAAAAGTTGTTGAGACTTGCTGAGTTATATCCCAAAGAGTTTCCAACTAATGATATGACGATGACTGCACTTCGTCATGAGCTTCAATTTTATATTAATGATGTGCGCCAAGATGCAAGGTTTGGAGACTTGAAGGGTATTCATGAGCTTTCTATGATGCTTGTTGAAACAAATAAGCATACTACTTACAACTTAGTTTACTTGCTTATAAGACTAGCATTGATCCTTCCGGTTGCAACTGCAAGCGTGGAACGAGTGTTTTCCTCAATGACATACGTAAAAAATAAGTTGCGAAATAGTATGGGTGATCAACTATTGAATGATAATTTAGTCACTTTTCTTGAAAGAGATTTATTTTCAAGAGTTAGTGATGATGATGTATTGGAACGCTTCCAAAGTATGAAGACTCGAAGAATGCTTCTGTAGTCTTTTTTTTTTTTTTTTTTTTTTCATTTTTCTATGTGTAATCTATTTGTAATCCATAGTTTGAAATTATTTATGTACTGAATATTTAATTATTGTATTTTTATTCCTTTGTTAATTATGATTTCAAATTTCGGAAGTTTCGAACCCACACTTCGAAAATCCTGGTGACGCCACTGATCAAAAAGACCCGTTAATTGAAATAACAGGTTCTTTGATGGCTTGATGCAGCCCGGTATTACACATTCACGCCGGCATACGCTCATTTTTTTGACATTCAAGCTGACACTTTCTTTTTTAATGAAAAGAGACCGGTTACTTAACAAGAAGTCCCTTTGGGTTTTTTTTTTTTTTAAATTTTGTTTGTTTGTTTTTTTTTTTAAAAAAAAAATTTCTTGAATTTTTTCCTTCTATTATATCTCTATATGTGTGCATCCAATTTAGATTTCTTTTTTGTTAACTTAAAAAAAACTAATAGGGTCTGTTCTGTTCACCTTATTTTCACTTATTTCAGGTTTAATAAGTTCAGATAAGTTCAGATAAGGGTTAATAAGTTCAGATAAGTTCAGTTAAGTTCAGATAAGGGTTAATAAATTTAGATAAGTTCAGGGTTAATAAGTTCTAAATTAACGTTCTCCTCACCTTATTTCTTCTTATTATATTTATATAGAGTTATTACTAATCAAGATTGCTTTTCACTTTTTTTTTCCGTAAAATTTTATGTGTTTTATTATCATGATTTCCTATAAGAATAAAGTAACATTTGCATAAAAAATAAAATTAAAGTAACGTTATACTCATAAGTTATGGTAAGACTAGATAAACTTTGCTTATATAAAAGTTAAGCAAATCAACAAGTTTATTATTTTTGTAAAAAAAACAAAGGGAAATTAATGAGAATGAAAGTCAGATCAACAACAAAACCAAAGGAGAATTTTTACTATTTCTAAACTATAAAATAGTAGTGTTGTTAACCGTTAAGTTTTTACTATTCCTAAGCTATAGAATAGTGATTAATTGCATGTTGTTAAAAGTCAAGTACACACTATTTTTAAGCTATAAAATAGTGGTTTTAGTTTCTTCATGCATGCGTTTAGTTACCATTACTAATATATATATATATATATATATATATATATATATATATATATATATATATGTATATAATATGCACGCACATGCTTTTTCTTATTCAACAACTAATTAGGTGTATCTTCACAAAACACCAAGAAGGTACGAGAGCTTGTTTATGAGTATTGTAGATAACTTCATTATTTTGATACTAATACACTATTTTCATACTATATTTTTCAGGTTTTGCGGAGGTAGTTTCAATAAAAAGTATACTTGATCGACAACCAAGCTACATACGTAAGTCTATATTAGCTACTAAGTTTGAAATATGTTATACTATTGTAGGGAATATTTCAAGCGTTAACTCCCTAGCTTGAACCCCATTGTGACCATACACTAAAGTATGGTGGCGTCCAAAGGGAAAGAAGATAGAGCAAAAGAGTCGCCAACAAGTTTTTAAGGAACCTGTAAACCGTTCACGAGGTGAAGGTTACACCCCTTAACGATCCAGGAGATCGTCAACTCCATAAGGTCTTGAACCAAATAGGGTTCGGGGATAAAGGTACAAATCCAACCTAAAAGAGATTGAACCTGCCCTAATAATAGACCTCTACTTCATTCAGATCGTATTCATGTGCGCTTTATGACTACCATACAATCAATAGGTTTACCCTAAACCTGTTTATCTATGTTGGTTGAATATTAATGCACAAATAAACCTATTATTGGCGATCACTTGAATTATAATCAAATTAACTCTAACAAGATTATTAATTATCTTATTAAGCGTGATTACAAGTACAAATTCCCTTTAAACATGCATAAAAGGTGTGATCAAGCAATAACAATAAATATCAAGCAACATAATAATCATAAACAATTATAAAAATAATCACAATATTATAATCATAACAATCATAATTAAAAATAATCATCATAACAATAATTATAACAATTATAATCATAAATCATAAAAATAATCATAATAATGTTAAAGCATAATAATAGCAAGGTCCTAGGCATGATACTAACAAGATTAATAACAAACCCTAGCATGTCACTAAACATTAAAAATCAAATATTTAACCCTAACATGATACTAACAATCATAAATATTAGGAAGAACATAAAAGGCATCATACTTTTAATCATACTTGATATTAAATTTACCCTAGACATGATACTAGGAATAATAATAACAATCTAAGCATGGTTTCTACATAATAACATCAATAAAAACCATTAAAGTACTTACTTGGATGCCTCGTACCTCTTTCTAATAACAAAATACACACGTTAGTAACTTCAAGGAAAATAATAATCAAACAACAATTAAATTAAATAATTAAAATAGAGATTTGGGACCAAACCCTCAAAAATTAAAACCTTTCACGTCTAGGGCGAAGGCAACTTCGAATAATGCTAGGTGTATCTAGATCTAATGAATGCAAAATTTTGTATTTGTGAAAAAGCTAGTTTAGAAAAAAGAGAGAGAGAAAGTAATCAAGAGAATCTTGATGAGAGTTGGTGAAAATTCGTGATTGGAGATGATTCACTAGTGGAAAAAAGGTTATCCGTAACGGACAAAAAGGGCCCATCCGTAATGGGCAGCGCCCGTTACGTATGCGGTCGTTACGGATGGTCATTGTTATTCGTAACGGGCACTGTCCGTTACGAATAACCCATTATTCGTAACTGACATTTCAAATGTCCGTTACGAATAACCCCTTATTCGTAACTGACATTTCAAATCTCCGTTACGAATAATGGGTTATTCGTAACGGACATTTCAGGTACCCGTTACGAATAAGGCCTTTATTGTATTAAAATAAGTCCTTATTCGTAACTGACATTTGAAATGTCCGTTACGAATAAAGTTTTATAGTATACAATTAAATACTTATTTGTAACGGGCAACAAAAATGCAAAAATGCCCGTTACGAATAAGTGGTTATTTGTAACTGACAACTCTCCTGCCTGTTACAAATAATCATTAAATAAAATTTTTTTTATTAAATTTTGGCAACATGTATTTATATATAATTAATTTATATTAATTAAAACCTGTTATAATAAACCTGTTCCTGTAAATAAACAATTATACCGAACAATCTTTCATAAAAATTAATACAACGTATTATAAAAATTGTAGTAATACATAACAAATAAAAACTTGTATAAATTTATCCAACACATACAACAACACTAATAATATTACTTTGTTCTACCTAAGCTAATAGTTATGCATTCAATAAATATTTACTTCTAAAGTATTGCGCCCACTGCTCTCGAACCACATTCAACTCGTCAACATCATACGGTGTTGTCCTTTGACAAAAATCCTATTGAAAAAAAAAACATATGAATAAGGTTACAAAATAAAAACAATCCATAATAAAAACAATCATTAGAATAAATGTGATGGTCCAAATTAAAGAAATAAAACTCAAAATATAGAAATAAAACACATAACAACCTTAATTAACTTATATTTTTATTTCTATGAATTGAAATCAATGAAAAGTGAACATTTACTTACTTTTGGGAGCGTATAGAGCCCAAAAGGCTTCAAAATTGCCTAACAGACTTCTATCTTTCTCATCTTTCATGTATTGGTCCAAATTAACACAATAAAACACATAACATCCTTAATTAACTTATATATTGATTTCTATGAATTGAAATAAATGAAACGTGAACATGTACTCACTTTGGGAGCGTATAGAGCCAAAAAGGCTTCAAAATTGCCTAAGGGACTTCTATCTTTCCCATCTTTCATGTATTCGTCCAATTAACACAATAAAACACATAACATCCTTAATTAACTTATATTTTGATTTCTATGAATTGAAATCAATGAAACTTGAACATTTACTCACTTTTGGGAGCGTATAGAGCCAAAAAGGCTTCAAAATTGCCTAAGAGACTTCTATCTTTCCCATCTTTCATGTATTGGTTCAAATTAACACAATATAACATATAACATCCTTAATTAACTTATATTTTTGTTTTTATGAATTGAAATCAATGAAAAGTACCATTTACTCACTTTTGGGAGCGTATATAGCCAAAAATGCTTCATAATTGCCTAAGGGACTTCTATCTTTCCCATCTATCATGTATTGTTCCAAATTAACACAATAAAACACATAACATCCTTAATTAACTTATATTTTGGTTTCTATGAATTAAAATCAATGAAAAGTGACCATTTACTCACTTTTGAGAGCGTATAGAGCCAAAAAGGCTTTAAAATTTCCTAAGGGACAGAAAGGTGCCAGTTACGAAATAAGTATTTATTTGTAACGGACACCTTACTTGCCCAATCAACAGAACTTCGTAAAAGCAAGACTAAATTATAACCAACTTCAATCTCATATTAACATTGATGAGTCTATCAATCTTTGACAATTTGTAAATTATAACTAACGTAATCTAATTGCTTAAATATAATTACCATGTGTCCAAATACCACTTTCAAAGATGAATAACATGAGTACATGTAAATGTACAGTTTATATCAACATATTGCTCAAATGATCAAGCATTCATTCATTTTACCCACTAGATACATACCAAATCAGCAGTGGGAAAATTAAATATAAAGGGAAAAAAAAAAGGTGATTCTAAAACTCCTAAATACAGCCTTAATTAACATATATTTCTGAACAAGAAGTTGAACCACTCAGTCCACCAAAAATCCTCTTCATCAAGAAAAAGGGTAACACACATGCAAGGCATCAAGGAAATTGACTTTGGTAACACTTCCCCTATCTTAAGCTTTCTACTATGTGATAAGTAGAAGCAAGAGGTAATGGTGCATATAAACCATTATATAGGTCAAATTTAGCCAAGCCCATTAAACAACTCAGGAAATTAGCAATAAATAGAAAAGGCCTGAAATGAACTGATCAGAACTGAAATTTCAGAACTGATCAGAACTGATCGAAACTGAAATTTCAAAACTGAAATTTCAGAACTGATCAAAACTGATCAAAAATGAAATTCCAGAACTGATCGAAAATAAAATTTCATAATAGATCAGAACTGATCGGAACTGAAATTTCAGAACAGATCGGAACTGAAATTTCAGAACTGATCGGAATTGATCGGAACTAATCCGAACTGATAAAAAAAGACCTAGCTGTCTTTTCTTCTTTATCATACCCACTTGCACAAATTTTCTATAAGTTTGCTTATCTTATTAACATGCTCTGCCAATTTTCACAACTTCATCCAATAATCTAGAATGAAGTAGTCAATGATAACACACTAATATAATAACTCACCTAAATAGACTGTAACATATGGAAAGCTGATCATCAAAAATTTCGCGAACCATGTCAAAAAAAGGAAAACGAAATGTTAACATAGTTATTGGCCATTTTCTGTAAGATCATGCTCACCAGTGTAGTTGATACAGCTCCAGAGACGAGAGTTCTAGGCGACTGAGAGGATCCTTTAAGGCTTTGACAACACTTTCGCGTCCTAATCTCCATGGTAATGCAACAAACTTAGTTGCAACTGCTACATCAATCTTTGGATCTTTCTCTTTCCGCTCCTTAATAAATTTATCAAAGAACTTATTTTCATGAAATATCAAGATAGCAGACCAGAATCAACAGCTCTACATTTCAGACTTCAGAGGATCTAAATGCAAACAAAGCAAAATCATTAACTTATCTCAACTGCAATGACATTAAAGCTATACGTATTACAAATCCACTATTATTAAATCATCTATGGGACAATGAAGAGTTGATTATAATAAAACAGCCAAATATACTCAAAAAAAAGTTTAAGCATATAATTATGCTAAAAGCAACACCATGCATGTTAACCAAATAATGTTGTAAGGTATATGAATCACTTATGAGTGCTCAAAACAAGATATTTTGATTGACAATTAGAACGCATTGTCAAAAAGTCACAAACAAAATCTTGAAACCAGAATGCACATGTAATAATAATGCCTTAATCATGTTAAAGTTTACATCGAAGCCATTGTAATATTGTGGTTTTTGGGGATTAGATGAGTCACCCGGAACCCAACACGATTTTTAAGCAATAACCCATTCCACTACTCAAACCCTTAAATTCACAAGCTGCAAAACAACAACTCAAATCTAATCAATTTTAATTTTTCCACAAAATCCAACATAACACTTTTGACATTTTAATCTGTCATATTCAACCAAAAACAAAGAATATATGATATTAGCTAAAACGCCATGTATCCGTCACACTGCTTCTTGTTTAATCAAATCAACCAATTGAACACCAAATTAATCAATTCACCATTGAAACAATCAATAAAACAACGAATAAATCAAATGAACATCAAATTACGAATTTAAAAAGCAAGGATTCGATGAATTTTAGGCTTACATGTTGAATTTATACAGGCAAAGGAAGAGTATAACGCAAATTAAACGAATTCAAATGCTGAATTCAATTTCTTAACTGCAATTAAAGAAGATAAACTGCATTGAACTGAAACAAATTGGATTGAAAATTTATATTAAGAAGGTGAGGAGAGAGAATACCTGGGTTCACAACTTTAAGTTACGTATGCTTCAACTGGAGAATTGTCTTTGCTGATGTAGGGTTTCAGAGAAAAACAAGTATGTATTCATATCCAAGTTCCATTCACTTGATTTGGTAACGCATCGACAACCCTAAGAAGGGGAACAAGAAGAAGTAAAGCGAGTTTATAAATAAATAGAGAGAGAGAGAAAACAAATCTTGAGCTGATAACCGAGCTGCTTCAATGGAGTTGCGGGAGTGAGGACGGAGGACGACGGCAAATTAAAAGTTAGTGTTTACTTTGAAACCTATTTGTAACGGGCAAGACTTGTTGGTTACGATTAGTTGGTTATTCGTAACGGGCAAAACTTGTTGGTTACGACTAGTTGGTTTTTCGTAACGGGCAAGACTTGTTGGTTACGACTAGTTCGTTATTTGTAACGGACATTGAATTTTCCCGTTACAAATGATGTAATTGTAACGGGAAATCATATGCCCGTTACGAATAGCTTGTTACAAATAAGATTTTTTCCACTAGTGATTGTTGATGAATGTGGATGAAAATTGATGAATGTTGATGAATGAAAACGGAGTTTTTACGACGTTATTTATAAAGAAAATCAGCCAAAAAGATAAAATATCAAAACAGAGTTCTGGCGTAAATAAAATTGAATTAGCGCCAACGCTGGCTATTGGCGCCAGACGCCAACATTAGCGCCAGGCGCCAAGCGTAGCGCCAGGCGCCAAGCGTAGCGCCAGGCGCCAAGCGTAGCGCCAGGCGCTGCAACTGGCGTTTGGCGTTGATTCAGAAATTCACGCGTTTTCTTAAAATCAGATAAAAATTGCCGTATAGGAGGATAAAATCGTATTTCCCTCAAAAAATGTTCTTTGATTTTAATTAAAACTCTGAAAAGTAAAAAAAAGTCAATTTATCAATGCTAATTGAATTAGGAATGAAAAGAACCTTATAGAAGAATCTAGAACACTAAAACCATTCTTAATTGCATTAGGAATGATAAATCTATATTAGGCCCTCCCCTAAATCATTGAGCCGCATATAAGGCTCAAACCGGGCCTAGTTCAGTAAATTGGCCATAACTTCTTCAATATTCATCGGAATTGGGCTTATAATATATCGTTGGAAAGCTCTTGTCAAGCCCCATCCAACTACACTACTATCGGAACCATATCATGGAATAACCAAACTGGATTGGCTGCTTTCTTAAAATAAGTTTTCAAAAACAAAGAGAAGAGAAAAGAAATTAAAACTATCCGCAACACTAAAATTTCCACACTTTCACTTCATTCGATTATGATTCGACGTGAGAGGTACTCATCACCGGTTTGGTTTTGGGGAGACACAAATGGGTGTCTACAGAAGCCCCCACTTTGACTGAGTTTGGAGAAACGCAGTAACGCCGACACCTGCAAACTAGCGTTAGTTAAACAGATAAAAGAGTTAAGAAACGCGTATCTTGCACCGTCGAGCATACGTCTCTGAAGGTAACCGATTTTCTGCCGTATCCTTGTTGTTTTGATGACCTCCTGCCAAGAGAATGCCACCCCGCTTGAAAATCGCTACGCTTGTAACAGCTTCTAATATTGAAGATTGCTTTGCTTGAAACGGTCCTCTTCCGCCTTGATAATATTCCACGTCCAAGGGAATACCATCGAAGATTGTTTCGCTTGAAACAATCCTCTTCCGCTTTGATAATATTCCACGTCCAAGGGAATACCATCGAAGATTGCTTCGCTTGAAACAATCCTCAGTTGTTTTTGACAACTCTCCACAATCTAGGGAACGCCATCTTGCTGTTTTGATGTTCACTCGTCTCTGAACAAAGAGCTTCTTTTTTTGGATATGTTCACGCGCCTCTGAACAAAGAGCTTCTTTTTTAATACGTCCACACGTCTCTAAACAATAGAGCTTGAAATACATGTCCACGCATCTCTGGACAAAGAGCTTAATAATATGATTTCCACGCGTCTCTGGAGCAAAAGAGCTTGATGATAGGATGCCCACGTGTCTCTGAACAATGGAGCTTTTTTAATATATTTCCACGTGTCTCTAAACAAAAGAGCTTGAAAGGAATGTCCACGCGTCTCTGAACAATGGAGCTTTGATGATATGTCCACGCGTCTCTGAACAATAGAGCTTGATGATATGTCCACGCGTCTCTGAACAAAAGAGCTTGAATGATATGCCCATGCGTCTCTGAACAATAAAGCTTGAATAATATGTCCACGCGTCTCTGAACAAAAGAGCTTGAATGATATGTCCACGCGTCGATACTTGAACGTTTGTTGAGATAATATTTTGAAGAAAAATTTCCGAAGACCAACGCTTGTCAATCCCTAAAGCTCGCTTGAACTTTGCTTCCGCTATGCCAGTACGTCGGCGATTTGCTGCTTGTGAACCATTATGTCCGTGATAAGCCAACGCTTAGGCGCTTTAAGCTAAGTGAGACGATCTTTCATTAGGTCGATCACTTATGGCGACTGTAATCAAACCGACTACTTAATCATGTCAAATTGCTTATAGGGGCTAACTGGCACACCAAGGAACCCGAAATTGTTGTATGAGGTCGAAATCACCTTTCTGAGAGGCTTCGAGCTCTATCGCTGCTGAAATATCTCTGGCGCCAAGAATTGGCTCTGTCGCCAGACACTGTGATCTAGCGTCAGGCGCTAAAAGCTATTGCCAGACGCGAGATGTTTCCGTCTGGCGCTGGAGTAGGGTCTTCCCTATTCTACTGCACCTGTATTTATTTTTTACTATAGAACTTTGCCAATTTTTTTAGTTATTTTAGGGTTGAACTAAAGTTTAATGTCGCTTGACTCATTGACAAGACACGGCTCAAGGCATAAACTTGACTCGCTGTGATTGACTGACTCGAGGTTTACTCGACTCAAAGTGTTTGACACATGTGTGCATAGTGTTGACTCAATGTGATAACACAACATGACTCAATGTGAACATGACTCGTGTGTGCATTGTAATGTGATCGTGGCGACTCAAAAATGCAAAATGGAAAAAATTTTCCGTCATTTTTGTGGAGGGTACCGACTTTCTCCCGAAAAAGAAAGACGCGAAAAAAAAGAAAGAAGCGAAGTTTTTGAAGATGCATGTTGTATGAGCTTAGTCAAATGTCATTTGATACTATCTCTTAAGGTGCAAGAATTAATTCATCCTAGGTTATCTCAATGGTTGACTCAATGATGAAAGCATTTGGGTAACTTAGGCACGGAAGCTAAGCACTTCGTACTTCGTGATGCAATGACAATTATGATTGATGAGTGATGTTGATATGACAAGGCATGCTTCAGCGTTGTGTTAAGATTTCATGGCAAAGGGTTCCTAAAAGAAAGTATATTTGGTCATGTATCTGTGCGATGTGTGTGATAGTGACACTGAAGTTAGGCCGCAAGGGCTAAGTGTGTGGGAAAATAATATTATTTTTTAAAAGAGTCAAATGGTGGTGACTCTTAGGCTAGGTAAGCTAATGATGTAGGGATCAAGCCCCCAAGTCTAGCTCTAAGTAAATAGGGATGAGCACCGGGATCCCTTGATATGATCAATTGTGAATGTAAATATGAATGCATTTTTATTACGGCCGCACCTCGATGTGAGGTTGCCTACGTATCCGTTAGGAATCAGGCCGAACGTCGCTCTAGCCGAACCTCGCACAAGTGTATGTATACCTCAAAAAAGTCTTTTAAGGGTTCTAACATGGTTAGGCTAAAGGTTAAAGAAGAAGGGGATAAAAAGGCTCAAGACCCTAGATAAGCCCCCAAGGTGTGCAACCTTGCTTTTTAATCTTTATATTTTTATGCTTGAGTTTCTACTCTTTTTTAGCTCTTTTTGCTTTAGCATTTATTTTATTTTTATAAGTGTGGGCAATCCCGATCATGCGGTCTATCACTCACTTGGCATTCATGTGTCTCAGTGTAGGGAATAATTTCAAGCGTTAATCCCCTAGCTTGAACCCCACTGTGATCATACACTAAAGTACGGTGGCGTCCAAAAGGGGAGAAGATAGAGAAAAAGAGTCGCCAACAAGTTTTAGGAACTTGTAAACCGTTCACAGGGTGAAGGTTACACCCCTTAACGATCCAAGAGATCGTCAACTCTATAGGGTCTTGAACCAAATAAGGTTTCGGGGATGAAGGTACAAATCCAACCTAAAAGAGATTGAACCTGCCCTGATAATAGGCCTCTACTTTATTCTGATCGTATTCATGTGCGCTTTCTGACTAACATACAATCAATAGGATTAACCCTAAACCTGTTTATCTATGTTGGTTGAATTTAAATGCACAAATAAATCTATTATTGGCGATCACTTGAATTATAATCAAATTAAATTAACCCTAAACAAGATTATTAATTATCTTATTAAGCGTGATTACAAGTACAAATTCCCTTTAAATATGCATAAAAGGTGTGATCAAGCAATAACAATAGATAATCAAGCAACATAATAAATAATCATAATAACAATTATAATTATCAAAACAATAATCATCATAATAACAATAATAATAATCATAATCATAATAATCATGTTAAAGCATAATAATAGCAAGATCCTAGGCATGATACTAACAAACCCTAGAACTTCACTAAGCATAAAAAAATCAAATCTTTAGCCCTAACATGATACTAACAATCATAAATATTAGGAAGAATATAGGAAGCATCATACTTTTAATCATACTTGATATTAAAGTTACCCTAGACATGATACTAGGAATCATAATAACAATCTAAGCATGAACTCTACATCATAATATCAATATAAACCATTAAAGTACTTACTTTGATGCCTCGTATCTCTTTCTAATAACAAAATACACGCGTTAGTAACTTCAAGGAAAATAATAATCAAAACAATAATTAAATAATTGAAATAGAGATTTGGGACCAAACCCTCAGAAATTAAACCTTTCACGTCTAGGGCGAAGACAACTTCGAATATGGCTAGGTTTATCTAGATCTAATGAATGCGGAATTTTGTACGTAAAAGGCTAGTTTAGAAAAGGAGAGAGAGAGAGAGAAAGTAATCAAGAGAATCTTGACGAGGGTTGGTGAATGGTTATAGATGAAAACTGGTTATCGAAAACGGAGTTTTTAATACGTTATTTATAGAGAAAACCAGCCAAAAGGCGCCAACAACCAGCGCAGGCGCCAAAGCTGGCACCAGGCGCCAAGCGTAGCGCCAGGCGCTACAGCCGGCGTTTGGCGGTGCTTTAGAAAATCAAGCATTTTCTTGAAATCAAATA